ACAAGAAACTTGGGGCTCCTGAATTCTAGCACTCACACCACTCCACTCTCTGCAGATATGAGTGCTTCCAGGTGAGAGATGTGCACAGTTTGTTCACTGGCTCACAGTATTTACAGGGCATCTCAGCCTGGATCCTGCAACCTTTAAATTCTTCCAGGAAATCTATATTTTTCTCTCAGTGACAGACTGTCAAACAAAGTTTTTTATATATATATTAATAATAATCCTTGCATTTGATATAGCATCTTTTCACATTTCTGAGATGTCTCAAAGCGCTTCACTGTATATCTTGTGGGCAAAAAGCATCAGTCAATTGGTTGAAGAGGAAAGTCTTCGGGTGTGATTTAAAAATGAACAGGAGAGGGAGCAAGGTGGAGGGATTGAAGCAGAAGTTCATAGTTTGAGGCTGTGGCTCAAAGCACGGCCGCTGACAGTGGAGTGGAGGGACGAAAGGAGGCAGAGGCTGGGGTCAGCTGTGCGGAGGGAGCGGGTAGAGGAGCGGGGTGTAAGCATGTTAGAGAGTGGAAGATGCTGGGACATGAAGTGAGGATCTTGAAATTGATCAGTTCTCCAATAGACCTTAAAAAGAGGTGTAAGTGTAAAGGGCAAGTAAGTGGGACTGAAAGAATTGCTCTTGAGGGAGATGGCACAGACACAGTGGGTTGCATGGCTTTGTGTGCTCTATATTTCTATGGTTTTATGGTAACTGTTTCTCTGCAGTAAACTATTTTATCCACCATATTTCAGTCAGTCTTAGCTGTTCTGCTTTCTCTCCTTTTGAAAGGTTTTACATTTCTCCCCCTGCATACCACTCCCATCCAGTGTTCTGTGGACTTGTCCTCTTTCATATTTGCACTTTTTTTATCTAAAGTTCATTCTCTCAGTTAATAATTATTAATCCTTGCATTCAATAGAGCATCACATCAATTGCTTCACAGGATTTTATTCAAAAGTGTTGTGACTGTATACTTGTAGGTGAAGTTAGAGCCAATTGTGCCCAATAATGTTCCACAAACAGCCATGAAGTGTATGATCAATTTTATTTGAGGAACTGTTGGCCAGGACACAAGGAGAAATTACCTCCTCTTTTATGCAATATTTGTCAGTCACCGTGATATTAAGCAAGATGCCTACACCCTAAAGGCAATGCAAAGGATGATCCCAGGTTAGAAGTATGAGCTATGTGCAACGATCAGGTAAGCAAGGGCCCTTCAGTCTTGAGCAGTGTATAACATTTTAAATGGGATTAAAAAATAAAACCCAGATGAATATTTTAGGATGCATCATGACGGTAAGAACAACAATAATAATCCTTGCATTTGATATAAAGCTTGATCACATTGTGAGACGTCTCAAAGCGTTTCACAGAATATACTGTTAACCAGTTTTATTTGCGGAATTGTTGGCCAGGACACTAGGATAAACTCCCTTTTCCTTTCGAATAGTGTCATGGGATTTTTAACCTCCACCTCAATAGCATAGCAGACAGGATCTTGGTTTAACGTCTCACCTGAAGGATGACACCTCCGATAATGCAACCCCCCCCCCCTCCCAACACTGCATTGAAGTGTCAGCTTCAACATTGTGATAAGGGGTCAGAGGTTTAGAGTTGTAAAGGGTAAATCAGGACAGGTATCGGGAAGTTTTTCTTTACACAGAGAGTAAGCAAAACCTGGTACATGTTGCTAAGAAAGGTGGTAGAGACCAGGATGCTCGACTCATTTAAAAAATGGTTTGATGTGGTGATGGTGATACAGAGGGTGTTCTGTTGGGATGAAATCGGATGAACCAAAGGGCTTTCTTCATCCAGATGGATTTTGTGAAACCTCTTGACTACACAGATGGTCTGTCTTTATGACACAATAGCAAGCTCTGTAAGCTTTGAGGAAGTAATAAACTGATGTGGCTGACTGTTATGGAAAAGGAGGAAATGGAAGATTTCTTTTAGTCAGCCGGGTATCTGACACATGTAGAAACCCATCACCATGCTTAAGAGTATCCAAACCAAACTGAGATTTCCATGTATCCCACCTACACATGAAAATCCCAGAGATAGATTGTTGGACTAGAATGCACACTCTTTCCCCAGAGGCACGCGTCCTGCTTATCTAATTCCAGAAAGTATTAAATGCAGGTAGGCAAGAGCCTAGGCTTGGGGACCCCAAAGTGTGTGTTAGGGTACTGCTGGAGTCTAGCCAGCATAACTTGCCATTGATATTGCTGTCTGCTAAGCTTTCCTGCTGTTTGTCTAGCTAGGACAATCCTAACAGTTAGGGCTTTGGCTTGCAGGGTTAATAGGAGCTGAGTGGGATGACTCCTTTCCCCCAGTGTGCTCTTCCAGTTGCTGCCGATGAGCCAGGTCAGCTGTGGTGTCATGATGGGGTCAGCCGCGCCCTGAAATACTGCAGACCCGCCTGGCTCAGGATCCGGACTAACAAGTTTGCCACGGAGGGCTGGCTCGATTCCAGAACTCCATTGCCAGGCATGTCACCTTGGTGCCAGTTCAGCTCCACAGATCTGATAAGTGTACAGATAGGTGATTTTAGAATCATAGAATCATGTAGCACAGAAGGAGGCCATTCAGCCCATCATGTCTGTGCTGGTTCTTTGAAAAGAGCCAATCTCTTTGAAATATGATAGCACATTAGTGATATTTTATAAACATCATTCCTTCATTCCATGCATCACAATACAAGGGCAGGAGGGAAATTGTAGCCTTGTGAAATTGTAGAATAGTTTATGTTCATAGGATCTTACGTACATGACAGTGTGTTTCACAACGATGTGCAACCTACTTGTTTAACATGCTGTATGTCTGATAAATGTGTTCACTCGGCTAACTTGGTCTCGCCCCTGTTCTAGTCTTCAAGTTCCGCTTTAAAATTTACCTCTGATTGTACCTATAGTAACTTCCCTCTCTTTCCTCTCCCACCTTCTCGCCATCTATGCCCACTACTGTGAAATACAGTAAAACTCACATAAGTCGTATTAGTCATGACCATAATGTTTAATATGACTTACACGAAGTCCATGTTGTAGGCAAACGTGTATAAGTCATATAAAATCCGGTTTAATCAATAATCTACACTGCAGATGTAATTTAATGCAGCCGGTAAGTGCACATGCAGTAGTTCGTCACTGCAGCCGGAAATGCATTAAAGTGTAGGAAATTAAGTTCTTCTGCACATATGCCGATGGATCTAGACTATGTTTCCCGTGATTCAATGCAGCTGGTAAGTGTGGGAGTAATGGAGTATTTGAGCGAGTTTTGAGATGATTAATATGAGTAGTACAAAGTGTTTTTTGTAACTCCAATTCAAGATCCTCATCCTCACCTACAAGGCCATTCATGGCCTTGCTCCCTCCTACCTCTCCGACCTACTATCCCCCTACTTAACTGCCCGTACCCTCCATTCCTCTGGCTCCGGTCTGCTCCACATCCCCCGCCCCAACCACCCTACCATCGGTGGTCGGGCCTCCAGTCTCTCAGCCCCTGGGCTCTGGAACTCCATTCCCCAGTGCCTTCGCCTCGCCTCCTCCCTTTCTTCCTTCAAGGCCGGTCTCAAGACCTTTCTCTTTGACCGTGCCTTCAGCTCCCCTCTCGACTCTCTATCCCCTCCTCGCTCCCTCCTTTCCATCCCCTCACCCTGACCATTTCCCCCCTGCTCGGGTCCTGACCCAACTGTCCAGCGCCTTGGGACGTCCTCCTGACGTGAAAAAATTGAATACAGATTACACTTATATAACATCTTTCATGTTGAGAGTACATCTGAAAGCACTTGACAATTCTGGCTGGGCACCAGAGTTGTGGTAGGAGCTGAATGGGGTGAGGAGGGGGAAAATGTGGACAAAGTGATACGTTTTCAGACGTACCTTGAAAGAGGCGAGGATGGGAGCAAGTCTGAAGAACCTGTGATTGGAGTTCCAGAGAGCGGGCGCCACATGGCCAAAAGCCCACCCTCTAATGGTGGGGTGGAGAGAGCGAGGGAATGGGCCAGTGTCGATCGAGAGAAGAGAATGGCGGGATTGATAAATGTGAAGGAGGTTGCAGAGGTACGGTGGGGAGAGTCCATGGAGGGATGTAAATATGAGAACGAGGATCTTAAACTGGTTCCGCTGGAGCCGAGCAAGGATGGGGGTGAGAGGTTCATGGAGTCTGGTACAGGGGAGGACATGACCTGCAGAGTTCTTGATGGCTTGTGGTTTGTGCAGGGAATAGCTGGGGGTTCAGCAAGCAGAGTGTTTGCATAATTATATTGTATAATAAGGCAGAACTGGGCAGTGCAAATTGGTATTTAACTACTTAATTTCTTATTTTTGTGCAAAGATATTAATTTATTTAGTTTCCAAGGTCAGTTATTCTTTATTCTATATTGTGGGCAGGAACTGGAAAAGTTCCAACTGCTCAGATCTACCTCCTAAAATTGGGGTTTGAAAGCAGTTTCAGTTAAAAAAAATCAGGAGAGAATAGAACAACAAATTGCATTTATAGAGTGCCTTTCATGTTGGGAGGACGTAACCAGGTGCTCGACAATGAGGGATTTGCAGCCGGGTTTGGGATCAGAGAGGGGTGGAGGGCAAGGCAGGTGGAGGAGGAAAGATGACCGAAGGTATGATCAAAATGGAAAGTCTTGAGACGGGTCTTGAAGGAGGCAAGGGGAGGGGTGAGGAGGAGGGGCACTGGATTGGAGTTCCAGAGGGTGGGAGCAGAAAGGCTGAAGGCCTGACTACCAATAGTGAGGTGGCAGGGCAGAAAATATGGAGCAGGACAGTGCTTGCAGAGTCGAGAGAGAGAACAGGTTTGGTGAAGTTTTAATAGGTCGCAGCAGTAGGGAGGATCAAAACCTTGGAGGGCTTTAAAGGAGAAGAAAAACAAATTTTCGTACTGATACATTCTCAGGTCTGTGGTAAGTTAATAAACGCTTCAGTCTTGGCAAAAGTAAATCCCTGACTATTGCAATTCGTAGTAATCTGTTGCTTCAAAATTTGTTTATTTTCAGCAAAGCATCTTCTCCGACTGGGAGGTCCTCCGATATTAGGCTGGATGGAAAGACTGTATTATTAACTGGGGGTAACACTGGCATCGGCAAAGAGACCGCAAGAGACTTGGCCAAGAGAGGTACAAGTATTTAAATAACTTGCTATGAAGAGTTATTTGGATAATATTAGACATGTGGTTAAATTGCTACTTTTTGTCTGTTTTGCCGACAAAACATTGCAGTGCGTAAATTGGCTGCCGCGTTTTGCCAACAGAATACACTCTCACTGCATTGTTCAGTAAGTTCTGTTTGATATATCCTCCTGACATGAAAGTTACTATAGCAAGTAAAAAGATTATTATTTTATTTAGATTGCTTTCAAGTATAGAACCATAGAAAATAGTATCATTGAAACTTACAGCAAAGAAAGAGGCCATTTGGTACATTTTGTCTGTACTGGCTCTTTTAAAGAGCAATATAATCGTGATCATATGATTAGTTTGTTTTTCTAAGGTTAGATGTAACATTTAATAATCAATTTTCTGTGGTGTACACAGGTTGTTTGCTCAGACCCCACAATCTGAACTGTAAACTCATGTAGTCCAGGCTGATAGTCCAATGCAGTGTTGAGGGTTGGGCCGCCTCATTGGAGATGCCATCCTGCAGAAAGCCGTAAACCGAGATCACATCTGCCTGTTCAGGTGGATGTTTAAGATCCTACAGAACTATTCATAAAGAAAGGGAAGTTCCTCTTGGTGTCCTGGCCAACAACCTTTGATAAAACCTGGTATAATTATTTCTTCTCTTAATTTTCCATAAAATACACACAGTCACACCACGTTGCAAGTATGAGACATTGTGAGGCACAATATAAAATAGAAGAATTATTTATTATTATAGCTGTTTGTGGGACATTGTCGTGCGCAAATTGGCTGCTGCACTTGCTTGCAAAATATACTGTCACTACACTTTATATTATATATAAAGAGCCTTGAGAAATTCTCCTGATGTGAAAGTTGCTATATCAATGAAATGATTATTATACTGTGTGGTTTTGGGTGGCAATGTGAGAGTAATTGGTTATACTGTAATACTGGGTGAGGGAAAGTTTAAAACCTAGGAACAAAACCAAATTCCTGGTGTACTGGCTAGTTTAAAGTGGAGATTAATGACATTGGTGGAAAATTGTCACAATCATAGGTATTTTCGGTAGTGTTTTCAAAACCTGAAGGTGGTCATGTGAAATTGCGTACAATTAAGCCCTTAAAAGTATCCCACAAATGCCTGTTTGGCTGCCATGTTTTGCCCACAAAATATACAGTCAATTCACTTTACAGTATATTCTGTGAAGCTCTTTGTGACCTCGCAAGGTCATGATAAGGCACTATATCAAATGCAAGGATTATTATTACAGATGAAAGATGTATACATTTATCCATCTTTCATCTGATATAGATGATGTGCTGGAGATTTCTGAACACAAGGGTTATTAGTTGATATGACATGGCAAATGGATATGTGTGTTTCGGAAAAGGCTTCAGATCTGGAATCCTTTGGTAACATCTTAAGTTCACCCTTAATTCTGTCGCTGAGATTCCAGACACCCTATGTAGATTGCATACATTTGTGAAACTTTGCCTGGTTTGGATACATATAATGGATTTCTGATGGATCTCTGCATGTGTCAAACACCTGGCTGACTAAAGAAAATTAACTAATCTGCCAGCGAAACTCATCGCTACACTGCTCCTGTTACAGGATTTTCATTTCGCTGATTTCTTCTTTTATCCAAGGGCAATGCACTTTCTGGTTGACGTTTAATTTTTCTCCACCATGAACAAATAGTTTAAGTCAATAAAGGCTTCCCTGTAACATGCTACCATTTCTTAATGTGCCATGTTAAAGAAACCTGAACTAGTCTTTGATAAATCATGCCCACATTATTATTACAGCTCTGTTGTGCATGGGTGTGTGATTTTAAGTGGATGTTTCCATTGTTTGATAAAGCTGTCCCTTATAATGTGGAGTACCGTAGCTCAGTGGTTAGAGCATTCGCCTCACAAGCAAGAGACCTGAGTTTGATTCCCAGCAGGGCACAAAACCTTAGGCAAGTTTCCTTGCTCCACATGCCTCTGTTTACTTAGCAGTAATAGGAACCCTGTTAGTCGATTGGTGGATTGCTTTTCCCTGGGTAATAATCTCTTTAAAAAAATGTTGTCACTCTGTTTGTGGGACACTGCTGTGCACAATTGGCTGCTGCATTTCGTCCACAAAATATACAGTCAGTTCACTTTACAATATATTCTGTGAAGCGCTTTGACACGTCTTGTAGACATGATAAGACGCTATATCAAATTCAAAGGTTATTATTATTGTTGTAGGAATGATGATTTTTGTTCTGTTATGTGCTGCCTGAATTATTGTTATTGCTGTCTTTACCTCACCAGAATTTCAACGCTTTTGATCTCAAAAGGGAAATAAATGGTTCGAACTCAAAGGCAGGCACTCAGTTGTTGAAACTGGGCTTTTCTGCAGTATCTTCCAACACACTGGGGAAAATCCACTTGGATCTTTGTGCATCAAACCATATGAAATCAATGAGATAACAGATCGATGGCAGATGAAATTCAAAGTGGAGAAATACAAAGTGCTTCACATAGGCACCGTAAATCCAGGAAGGGACTGTTATTTAAATGGGAAGAAAGTAATTTGTACTGAAAATGAAAAATGATTGACAATACATTGAAGCTATCGCAATAGTGCTCGGTAGCAGTGAGTAAGGCAAACCAGATTCTGGGTTGTATTAAAGGGACAATATTGAGCCAAATTAGTGGAGTAATTCTGCCACTTTATAAATCACTGGTACAACCGCATTTGGAATACGGTGTGCAGTTCTGATCACAGCAATATGAAAAGGATATTGCAGTGATTGAGAGGATATACAGCAGGGCAACCAAGATGATTGAGGGGATGGAGGGACTGGCCTACAAGGAGCGATTAGATAAACTGGCATTTTCATGCTGGAGAAGAGAAAGTTGAGGGGTGATATGATTTTGGTCTTTAAGATTCTGAAGGGACAGTCTGCGATTGAAGGGGGGTAAATTCAGAACAAATCTGCGTAAACACTATTTCAGTGAGCGAGTAGTAAACGTATGGAACAGGCTCCCTAGGGATACAGTGGAAGCAGAAAGTGTTGTTTGTTTCAAGAACAAATTAGATAGATTTCCGTTAGAAAATAATATCTCGGGACACAGTATATAGTTTGGGGCACAACATGACAAGAGGATGGTGGAAGGTGAAATAGATGGATCTTGGTCTTCTTTCACCTAGCAATTTTTTATGTTCTTATGAAAGCTAGAACCAGGTGGTGATAAAAAAATGGACTTGCGTGTGGTGCTTTCTTTCAATGATGAGAGTGGATATTTTCATATTTTCCAAAAAATCTATGTTTATGGTCACATGGTATAAACCAATCATATCCACCTATTGTGTTGACAACCCATTAATTTACTGTTTTAACGACTGACCATGGCTACTTAAAATAAGACTAAAGATATCAGGTTTATTTGTTTATCTTCTTGTGTGAAATACAGCAATAATACAGGTCTATAAACTGCTGTCTGTGGGGAGTTTGGACTGAGTCTGGCTAAACTCTTATCTTCAAATAATGCTCCTCTAAAACTGTCTGAAATGATATTTAACTGAGATCTCAGAAGGAAACATACAATGGTGTATTCAAAACGAGTGTTGTGTGCTTTCCTAACATTCAAATTCCATGATTACAGGGACGAATTGTATTCATTTTATAAACTAGACTGGAAATGTGTTGCATGAATTGAACTTCTATGATAAATTAATTGGATTCCATGGGGACGGTCATCTGACCTGTTAGCCACATTGGTTTTTACCAAACAAGTGCACAATGGAATATTTGTCACAAACTGTACTGAAGTTCTAGCTTTATGGTTGATATGTCTTGAATTTTGTCGGGGCACAAATTATTTTGAGCATTTAAATCTAAAACTGTAATTGTTTTAGCTAATACATTTAAAATGATTTTTTTTCTCCTAATCTACATTGTTACATTTTTATTAGAAACGTCTGTGTTAAGATAATGAACTCCACCTAACTGGCCAAGAGTATTTGTCATATTAAAACTATTTGAATAATCTCTTTGACATGAGCTATTAAGGTTCAAACCTAAGCTTTTATCTTGTGTATATAAGAAGGCTGGTCTTTGTTTAAGACTGCATTTTGGTTTTGCTTCAAAAACACCGCATACACAAAGCATAACAGCTTTAAATGTCGGCCTGATGACCATCTCAAATCTGATTACTTCCCAATGGCTTTCTATTCATCCTGGTTTCCTGTTGGACTGAATGGGAAGAATGTTATTCACAGTAAGGCAGGAGAAAGTCGTATTTCTACAGAAAGGGTTTATCTTGCTGGCTTGGACATTTGTCTTTAAAGCAGCAAAGTGAAAATAATTGTAACGTACTCTTGAGCTGTTTTGCCATGATGAAGGGCTGAAATAAATGAAAATATTATTTTTATAATAAAAGATTTGAATCCAACAAGAAATTTGAATAATACACACTTTCACTAAAAGAGACCCTGAAAGCTAAATAGTGGGGCACGGTTTATGGGTTTAACGCTTCTATTTATTTTGTTTATTCCGTATTTGTCCCTGTTTATCCAGGAGCCAGGATTATTATAGCCTGCAGGGATATGGAGAAAGGGACAGCTGCAGTTAAAGAGCTAGTGGAAGATTCTGGAAATGAAAGTATTATTGTGAAGAAATTGGATTTAGCTGACACCAAATCTATTCGAGAATTTGCTGCCCAGATCAATGATGGTATGTTACCCTTTACTTTTAGGATATTTTTAAGGTTATTTTGATGTTTGATTTTTTTTAAAAGCCCAAGAAAAAGTACAGACATGATCAATTAGCAAATGTAATGTATGTGTCTGTATGTGCTATATATTCATGACAGGCCTGTTATAAGACTATCTCTTGAACCTTATATTTGTGTGTGTTTGTGAATTATATATCCTGGGTAATCCTGTTATAAGACATCTTCTCCCTCCCTCCATGCCCAATATTGCGCATCTTTTAACACAAGTAAAAATTTGTCATTCACTTCATGGCTGTGGACATTGTTGGGCGCAAATTGGCTGCTGCGTTCGCCTACATAATGCACAGTTACTACATTTTACAGTTTAAATGCATATTGCGTATCCACACTGCATCACGTCCAGACTAGCTCACGCCAACTTTGCTTTCTGGAATACTCGCCTCTTCCCTTCACAAGCTGCAGACCATTGCCCACGTTTCGCCCACAAAATATACCGTCAATTCACTTTACAGTATATTCTGTGAAGAGCTTTAAGACGTCTCGTAGATGTGAAAAGCTCTATATCAAATGCAAGGATTATTATTATTATTATTATCCAGAACTCTTTAGCTTGTGTCCTTTCCCTCACTGCAAAAACAACAACAACTTGCATTTATATAGCGCCCTTCACACGGGGCAGTGTCTCGGAGCGCTCGGACGAGGTGATAGACTCATTAGGCTCTGTGAGCCTATCACTCTCATCCTCGTCTGGCTCTACTAGCTCCCATTCCTCCAAATCCTGCTGCTCCCTCCTCTCAACACGAAACATCTGACTTCATAACTCCCACCCCAACATCTGCAGTCACTATCAGCTATCACCCCCCACTCTCTGGAACTCCATCCCGGAGTCCCTTCGCCTCACCCCTTCCCTCGCCTCCTTCAAGGTCTGCCTCAAGACCTTCCTCTTTGACCGCACTTTCGGCCACCTTTTTCTCTCACCCCCCCCGATTCCCTGTCCCCTCAGCACCCAGTGCCAGCTCAGGTGCAAACCATGAATTGTCCAGCTCCTTGGGACATCTTCTTGACTTGAAAGGCACTTTGTAAAATTTTTGTTGTACAAAGTGTGAAATTGCTTTGAGAAGTCTTTCTGATGTGAAAGGCACTATATCAAATGCAAAGATTATTATTTATAATAAAGAACACTCCTTTTTTTAGCTCTAGGAGATATTATCTTTTGGATACTGCAGGAATATCCTAGTGGTTTCTGACTAAATGTTTCACTCGTTTCTCAGGAGAGGAGCAGATAAATATACTGATCAACAATGCTGGGGTGATGATGTGCCCTTACTCCAAGACAGCAGATGGGTTTGAAATGCAGTTTGGTGTCAATCATTTAGGTAAGGCTGTTTAGAACACACGGTTTATCCCTTCACGCCCTGGCACTTCCCTACGCTTTGACCTGCTTATTCCCCATGCCACACCCAAGGCTGGCTCCGGCTTCCTGTATGTCTTTCGTACCCTCCCTTGCACAATTGGCAGTCGTGCTTTCAGCCACTACGCCTTGAAACTCTGGAACTCTCTTCCTCAATCCTTTCAGTCCCATCTTCTGCCCTTTCCCCATACCCCAGTGGCTTACTCCATTTTAGATATCTAGCTTGTTCCCTGTTAAAAAGTGATATAGATTCTGCCTTAACCACTGCTCCCAGCACGACCATATCTTAACCACTCTGTGTTGGAAGACAATTCTTCCATTTGCTTGTTTGCTAACTATCTTAATTGATGTCCTCTAGTCACTGACTCACCGACCTTTATTTATGTCATTTTATTTTTCAGGTCACTTTTTATTAACCTATTTACTGCTTGATTTGGTAAAACGTTCTAGTCCTGCACGCATCATCAATGTGTCTTCCACTGCGCACAAAATGGGGAGCATCAATTTTGAAGATCTAAATAGTGAGCAGAGTTACAGTTCGATAAAAGCCTATGGACAGAGCAAGCTGGCCAACATTCTGTTTACAAAGGAGCTGGCCAAAAAACTGGAAGGTAAAGGGCAGTGCAATGTGTTTTCAATAAGTCTGCAATACCAATATTTGTTGAAATGATTCATTGAATCACAAATGAATGTGTGGAATCACTGATGCTTTGCTCAATGAACATGGAGTTCGGTTGGAGGAATTTTTTGGGGGGTCAGCCGGGTGTCTGACACATGCAGAAACCTATCAGCATGCTTATGAATATCCAAACCAAACTGAGAAATCCATGCATCCCATCTATACATGGAAATTCCAGAGATAGATTGTTGGAAAGGAATGGGCACTCTTCCTGGAGGGATACATCCTGCTTAACTAATTCTGGAAAGTATTCAGCGCAGGTTGGCAAGAACCAAGACTTGGGGACCCAGAGTGTGCGTTAGGTACTGCTGGAGTCTAACCAGCTATCCCCACCTAGCTTGCCATTGATATCGCTTTCCCGCTGCTTGTCCAGCTAGGACCACCCTACCTGTTAGTGTTTGGCTTGCAGGGTTAATAGGAGCTGAGTGGGAGGATTCCCTGCTCCCAGTGAACTGCTCTGCTCTTCTAAGTCCTGCCGATGAGCCAGGCTGGCTGTGCTGTCATTGCAGTGCCCTGGAATACTGCGGACCCGCCTGACTGGAATCGGACGACTGAGACCACCTCATAGGGTTGGCTCGATTCCAACATTCCATTGCCAAACATGTCATCTTGGAGCTACTTGCCTCCCCCACTCCCGGAGGCTTAACAATAGGAAGAAAAAGATGAAGATTAATAGTGAGGGGAATCTCTGTCTGAGGATAATGAGTAGTATGGTTCTGTAGGGTTGGACGTTGGAGCATATTGTTGTAAGGAAAGTGGAGCGAAGTTTTATCCTGAATCTAATGCATGCTACAGTCAGCCAGGATCATTTTATGCTGATGTGTAAGAAAAAGAGGATGAATTGGTCAGCAAAATTATTCACAGAAATGGGATATCAGTAGTCTATAGAATAAATTGAGCTACTGTGCAGCATAGATAATATTGGGCAGTGTTCTGTTATTTCAGAGACGCTCATATTGGTTCCAACTGCTAGAGCAAAGTTCTATACATTCCTTATCAACTCAGTTACTTTCACTTTTAACTTTGCATAGTAATAAAATGTCCTCAAACTGCTGTCCTTTCTAACAAAGGTCAGTATTTTTTTCCTTCCTTGACTTGTTCTCCTCTCCTCTTAACTCAGTGTTAACCAGTTCATAATTAAGCTCCATTTGTAGATGTTCAAGACAAGACAAATTAATAATTTTTCAGCAAATATGCAAGTGCATTCGTGGGTGGGTGTAGAATTTTAATTGACTAATTTACCCGAATGACATTCTCTTTGACAGGGACCGGGGTGACAGTCTATTCCTTGCATCCTGGGGCGGTGCGGACAGAATTAGGGAGACACTTGAACGTTGTGATCCGGGCAAGCTTCAAACTGTTCCATTTTTTTACCAAGTCGCCAACAGAGGGTGCACAAACCTCAATTTACTGTGCTGTGGCTCCAGAACTGGAAAAGAAAACTGGACAATATTACAGGTAAATGCGCAGGGAATACAGTGTCCCTGAATTATCTGGGATTAAGTGAGAAATTGATTAATTTAAAAACAGCGAGGTCTAAAATACAATATTCATAATGGTTGCCTCATTTGTCTACAAGTTGCACAAGCACTACATTTTACAATATCTTGTGAAGTGCTTTTGAGATATCCTGCTGACGTGAAAAATGATATGTCAAATGCAAAGATTTCGTAGTTATGTTCGGAAAGGAAAGTCAGAAATAGCAACAACAGCAAAATTACATTTGTATAGCGCCTTTCACGTCGGGAGGACGTCCCAAAGTGCTGGACTTACGGAGTTACGGACCCGATCTGAGGGTCAGGGTGGTGGAGGGTGGAGGGCAGGGGGTGAAGCAGGGAGATCGAAAGCACAGTCGAAGAGGAGGGTTTTGAGGTGGGTTTTGAAAGTGGCGAGGGAGGGGGCGAGGCGGAGGGACTGCGGGACGGAGTCCCAAAAGGTGGGGGCAGAGTGGTGGAAGCTCCGCTCACCGATAGTGGGGCGAGCAAGGCAGGGGACGTGAAGCAGGCCGGAGATCGTTGAGCAGAGGGAGCGAACAGGATGGTACGGGATTAGTAGGTCGGAGAGGTAGGGGGGAGCAAGATCATGGAGGGATTTGAAGGTGAGGACCAGGATCTTGAACTGTATCCTCTATGTGATGGGAAACCAGTGGAGTCAGGCAAAGATGAGGGTGATAAAGTCGCAGAGCCTAGTGCGGGAGAGGACACGGGCTGCAGAGTTCTGGATGATCAACAACAACAACAACTTGCATTTATATAGCTCGGTTCACTCAGGGCAGTGTCTTAAATTCAGGCTGGGAACTGACATTCAAAAAGAAAAAGGAATTTTTCCTAGTTTCCTAGTCAACAATAAAAATTGATCACTCACTTCATGGCTGTTTGTGGGGCATTGCTGTGCAACAAATTGGCTGCCTCATTTGCCCACAAAACTCAGATTCATTGCATTTTACAGTAAATTCTGTGAAGCGTTTTGGAAAATGCTCCTGAAATGAAAGGCAGTATATTAAATATAAATATTTTTATTATATTTATCATTATAACTCATGGGAACTCGGCTCACATGCTATTTACTTCTGGATGTGTCAGAATGGCATTCCCTTGGGTCGGCATGATGCATAACTGGGTCTGAACCAGAGGTTGCTGTTTGCAACTTCCTATTATGAAGAATGCACCAGTATGGCAACAGGACATTCTGAATTAAAATCCTGCTGTACAGAGTGTTCTTGTTGATGAGCAGATTTAAGTCCTTGTTCCATAGCTCAACTTGGCCAGGCTTCACATGGGATTGTCCTCCCCTCAGAGCTGAGTATAAACTCACCAACATTTGCTGCCAAATTTCTGACTCACGGCTGTCTGAAAAGCTCTAACAAGCTTTACCTGAACCTTTTGATCGATTTTTATTGCCTTAAAAATAAAATCCTTGACTGTCTGTTGCCATGTTATAACCAAGTCAGGATTCAATATCCCCGAAAGCGGCATTAATCTGCTTGTAACAATTTTTTTTCCCTATTATAGCTCTCTGTGTGTGTCCTAACAGGAAAATGTTACAAATGTTCTGATTGTGGCTGAGCCTATTCTTATCATGAACATTATTCAAGGTTGTTGCTGTTTGTGGGACATTTACATTGTCCATAAACTAGCTGCCGCTTTTGCTCACAAAAGTCACTTACCTTACATTAAATCCTAAGTGCTTTGGACTAGATATTCTCCTGATATAAAAGGTACTATATCAAATATAAAGAATATTATTATTAATTCTTCAAATAACGATTTCAGGGTTGTAATACCTTATCAGCCATTCACCAAAAATCTCCAGTGTTATATTATACATCTGAAATGTATAATTCATAAGGCATTGTTAATGTGGCCAATGGTGCTTGAAATAAACGTTTATCAAAATAAGCTCTGGTAATTTAAAAATTGCAGGTTAAAGGCAACTGAATGTGAATTTCAAATGCATGAGTTATATTAGCCTTCATAAGAAGTTAAGATACATTTTTTTTTCTTTTTGCCCCTATTAAGGAGAGAGGTGCCAGAGCTAGCATATGAACACTTTAACATTTTAGGCGTCTATTGTCAAAATACTTTACCTTAGCACCAACAAAGAGTACCTTCTATCACACTAATCCTTGTGGCCTGTCTGAATTACCACAGCCATTTCATGTCAGATTTAATAGCAGTGCTTGTGCTGGGATATGAATGCCCACACTTACTATTATATAATTACTGGCAACAGAGAGATAGAGAGAGACCTGCTTCCATCAATCTGGGATAGATTCAAACCAGGCCTCAGTCATGAAAGGGCATTTTATTAAGCTGTTGCATCATCCTTTGTTCATATTTTACTGGCGAGGGGGTTATATAGATTTTTTTTATGTGAATCAAATCATTCTCCAGATTTTTGCCTAGTTTTGGCCTTTTCTATTTGGTTTTACTTTCTACAGCTGAAAATGTGTTCTCGTAAGCACTGCAATATTGTGAAGGGTCTGCCACTGACACAATCTAAACAGAAGATATGGGATGGAAAACCCATGGCCTGCAATTTGTATCCATGGGGTAGAGTATATAAGTAATTTGAGACATGATATATAGTTAAGTGTAGTGGATCTAAGATTGTAGACTAATCCATGTAGAATTAATTGCTATTAACATCTCCATTATTGTAGTACTACCAGGATGGTAGAGAGCTAACAAGAAGGACTTAGGTCATTTTTCGTCTATGTTCCTGTGAATGGGATTACCTGATGTCTCATGAGTAGTGTTGCTCCATGAGTCAGAGCCATGAGAGAGAAATCATACCCCACAGCTATTCATCATGTAGTCTTTCCTTGTAACAATCATGTTTTAAAAGGGCTTATGTTCCACTTTCTCCTCTCACTGGTATTCCCAGGACATACACGAGGACATTTAGCGATATTCGCTAAGAAACCAGGCCACATGGTGACTGAGAATGATCCAGGGTGACTTTCCTTCTTGTCTGCCCACCCTCGCTGTTGGAAAATCCATGGTCTCTCCTCTAAATCTCACTACAGCAGTAGGGGCAGAGGTCAATAATTTGACTTGTGGGAAACATTCGTGCTGTCTTCTCCCACAAGTTTCTGTACATTACAGCACCAAAAGCCTGTTGTGTTGCTGGGCTTTCTTGTAGAATCTTTAAAAATCTGGTCAAATAAAGGTTGAAAGATTATGAGAATTAAAAGAGTACTTAGCAATGTGTTATACAACCACATTAATAATAATAATAATCCTTGCATTTGATATAGCGCCTTATCACGTCTTCGAGATGTCTCAAAGGGCTTTACAGGATATACTGTAAAGTGAATTGACTGTATATTTTGCGGGCGAAACATGGCAGCCAATTGCGCACAGCAGTGTCCCACAAACAGTGGTAGATTGAGTGACCAAATTATTCGCAATTCTCATATAACAAGGAACTGAGGCCATCATCAGGGGTATATTATCAGAGATACTACAACACCAATGTGCACTTATGTAGTGCCTCACACATATGATAACATCTCATGGTACTCTGCAATAGGATGAAGACCACCATGTAGGAAGGGGAGGTTGTTGACCAAAGCCGTGTCAGTCTGGCTCAGTTGGTAGCATTCTCACCTCTGAGTCACAGAGTTGTTCAAGCCCTATATCATGACTCATAAGCTGACAATCTAGTGCATTGCTGGGGGTATCCTGAATTGTCAAAGGTGCCATGACCCGCTCTGACTTCCCACACCTCCGCAGCATCGCCTGGCTCCGCTGCTGCCTCTCCCTTCAGGCTGCCAAAACCCTCATCCACAAATTTATTACATCTAGGCTCGACTATACCGACTCCCTGCTTGTCGGCCTTCCCAATTCTTCCCACCATAGTCCCTTCACCTTGCCCCCTCCCTTGCCTGCTTCAAGGCATGTCTCAAGATTCTCCTCTTTGACTGTGCCTTCCGCCACCTTCCTACTGTTAGAAAATAAAATCAGCCAAATCTGCAAGGAAATTACGCTAATTCCTCTAACCAGATATCAGACTGTTTTATTATAATTCGTTCGTTATTCCCCAATATCCCGATGGGTCAGACCAAAGGCCGGTACAATCAACAGATCTTATAACAGAATAACACCACTATAGATATCTCGAGTTCAAGAGTTCAACACTGTGTCTTTCCAGCACACAAGCTTGATTCTTCATGCTTTCAGTCTTCCTGCTGACAGCTTTCAATCTTCCATCTGATATCCTCAGTCTTAGTGTTTCCAGCTCTTAGTCTTCCATCTCTGTATCCTTGTCTCCACGACCCGGGACGGCTCCATCTCCCGTATCCTTGTCTCCGCGACCCGGGACGGCTCCATCTCCCGTATCCTTGTCTCCACGACCCGGGACGGCTCCATCTCCCGTATCCTTGTCTCCGCGACCCGGGACGGCCCCATCTCCCGTATCCTTGTCTCCACGACCTGGGACGGCCCCGTACACAAAGTTATCGGAACTCTTATACCAATGTTCATCCAATCATGGTGTGGATATTAGATCATCTGGTCGAAATCATGCTGGGTTCACGTGAACACCTCATGGGGTGTACGTGCCTCACACACACAAACACACTGTCCTTGAGACAGTCCGTTATCTCGTGTTCGTGTAGGGAGTTTCAGTCCAGCTGCCCACAACACACTTAACTTAAAAGTTAACCCGTTCGCAACATCTATTATGATTCTAACATTATACAAAAAGTGTAAATTCTAACACTACCCCTACTCTCCCTGCCCTCCACAACACCTGGCCCCTGCTCAGGTCCAAATGATTGACTGTCCAGCACCTTGGGATGTCCTCCCAACGTGAAAGGCGCTATACAAATATAACTTGCTGCTGTTGTTGTTTTGTCATCTTTCGGATGCCAAGTTAAACCGAGGCCCCATCTGCCTGTCAGATGTATAACAGAAATGCTCTGTTATTTCCCAGACCAGATAATGTTTGTTCAGCATTTGGGGGTTTGATTTTGCCAATTAACTTTGTATTGTTTCCCTTCCCAGAGGTGAAAATAGAAAGCTTCATTTAAAGGTTTATTGATATTTTATCTTCTGTTGATCTCCATCTTTGCTCAAGATGCCTTTAATCAATTTGATCCAGCAGACGCCAGGCTAGCGGTTGGTTATTTGGTATCAGTGCCTAACTTTCAAGCTTGCATCAGGCCCCACAATTCCCTCATATTGAAAGTGTCTATATGCTACTTGTACTTGAGGCCTTTCACCACCATATATTTCTCGCTCTGGAACTCCATCCCCCAGTGCCTTCGCCTTGCTTCCTCCCTTTCCTCCTTCAAGGCCGGTCTCAAAACCTTTCTCTTTGACCGAGCCTTCAGCTCCCCTCTCGACTCTCTTCCCCCTCCTCGCTCCCTCCCTTCCCTCCCCTCACCCTGACCATTTCCCCCCTCCTCGCTCCCTCCCTTCCCTCCCTTCACCCTGACCATTTCCCCCCTCCTCGCTCCCTCCCTTCCCTCCCCTCACCCTGACCATTTCCCCCCTGCTCGGCTCATGACCCAACTGTGCAGCGCCTTGGGACGTCCTCCTGACGTGAAAGGCGCTTTATAAATGGAATCTTGTTGTTGTTGTGGGTGGACTGGGCTAAAGGGCTTCAAGTAATTGACCTGTTTGGCAGAAGGAAACCCCAGCATCAAGAATGCCTCAGTTTGATTTGTTCTGGGGCAGGGAAACCCTGGACTTCAGTGAGGTGAAGCACTCTGTATCTTCTGGCCAGACAGAGAATCAAGCGCGAGTAGATTGAATTCACTTGGTTTCTCAAAGAAGCATCAGTGATGCCACATTTCTAAGCAGACATGCATGGCCAGGGAGAAGGCATCAGGCAGAAGGCATTGTGCGTGGTTCCTTGAAAAATTGGCCAGCAAAAATTGCATCAGCACCATCACCTTTGACCCATAAATTTGACTGAAATTTAGTTTTAACACAATTGATCTTAAATACATTATGCAGTTTAATATATAATGTACATATCCTTATGGCTGCACACATCTGCTGTGGTATTATGGCATTTCCATTTAGGTTGAATATGAAGACACGTTAATGGAAAAATGCAACCAAAAGCATTTGCAACGTAGATTAATGCCGAGAAAGAAAGGATTTAAAAAGGGATCTGTCTTCACAATGCATTTTCGGGAAACCATCAATACTGGGCAGGGTAAATTCTATTTGTGCTAAATATCTAATCCTCACAGTTCTGTCATGGTGATGGCACCAAATGTAGATTACTACTGCTTACTGGAATGGAGTGAGACTAGTAAATGAATAAAATAATGGTCCTTACATTTGGTATAGTGTCTTTCGTGTCAGGAGGACAACTCAAAGTGCTTCTCAGGATACATTGTAAAGTATTATGTATTTTGGAGGCAAACGTGGCAGCCAATTTGTGCATATGTTCCACAGACAGTCATGAAGTGAGTTCCAAATTTTATTTGTGGAATTATTTATAATAATAATAATAATACTTACATTTGATATAGCGCCTTTCATGTCTTCTCGACGTCTCAAAGTGCTTCACAGAATAGACTGTAAAGTGAATTGACCGTATATTTGTGGGCGAAATGCGGCAGCCAATTGCGCACAGCAGTGTTCCACAAACAGTTGTGGATTGAAAGTGACCAATTTTTTTTTGTTTGTTTTGGAGGGATTATTATTAGGCGTGTGGAGTAAGGAGACTTGCCCAAGGTTTCGCCCTGCCTGGAATTGAACCCAGGTGTCTCGCTTGCAAGGCGAGTGCTCTAACCACTGAGCTACAGGGCTCCAGGACACCAGAAGAATCTCCTTTCTGTTTTTGAATAGTGCCATGGGGTCTTTCATGTTGGCGTGAGCAGGCACACAGAGCCTCGGTTTAAATGCCGTATTGTAAGATTTCTGTTGTTTTACTCTTTCCATATTGTTTTGCACACAGCGATTGTGCCCAAGTAGACTGTTCAAGAGCTGCGTCCAATGAGGAAACAGCGAAGAAACTATGGGACGTCAGCTGCAAAATGGTTGGAATCGATTGGCAGTGAGATCTTGATGTGACAAAGATCTGTGCAATGATAATGTTTATGATTTAAACATTTTTTTCTAATCTGAAGATTAATGAAACTGAGATTATCACAGTAAAATAAATTGTCACAGTAAACTACTGCCAGAAAACTATACATTATATGATTAACATTTGTCTAAAATTAAAGATTGTGAAGAAGTTTGGAAATTCCTAAATGTAGCCTTTTGTTGCAGTTCTTAAAAAAAGTTGAAGTAGCCTAAATTCTGCCCAATCTTACATTTCAAAACAACATTCTGAAATCTAACACTGTCACATCTAAAAAACACTAATGAATGGGAGTTGGGAAAAAGCAGATAAATGAGACTGAATGCATTGCTCTTTCAAAGATCCAACACAGACATGATAGGCCGAATGGCCTAAACTGCAGATTTCTGTGATTCTATGGGGAGTTTTTATTGGTCAGCCACACACGTGGAAACCCATCACATTGCTTAAGAGTACTTAAACCAGATTGAGTGTTCCACAAATGTACTTAGAAATGTCCCTGAATCTGGAATGGAATTTGCACTCTCTCCCTGGAAGGACATATTCTGCTTACCTAATTCTGGAGTGTATTAGGCGCAGGTTGGCAAGACACAAGACTTGGGGACCACAGAATGTGTGTGTTGGGGTACTGCTGGAGTAGCTGAAACAACAATAACAAACAAGAAATTGTTTCCTGTGAGCTACCTGGTAAGCAGCAAAGCTCAGAATGAAATGTGTGAGAGTATTGCCACCATCCTACTTCCCACAACTCAGACACACATCACCACCCTACATTTTCCTGGGAATCCTGACAGTTATTTATAATTTGGTTTTGCAGCCCCAGGTAATATTTGATTTATCTGTGATAGTTTTCTAAAATAAACTTAATTTTTCTAACTTCTGTGTTAATAATATTATTCCCAGGCACATCCCCCTCCCATGTCAGTTGATCAATCTCATTTTGTATAATAGGGTTAAAATGGCAGTATTTCTAAATACATTCCATTTCTTATTCAGGAACTATTCCATAAGAATAGTGTGGACGTGTTCTTTGTATTATCCTCCTGCCCTGAAAAAATAGGTGGATGAAAAGACCTGTGCGCCTATATCTCAGATTATAGCTTAATGAGGATCATTTTTGATTACCATAAAAAGGTCTTCCAAGTGCATTCGTAAGATTGGTTTGGATGAAGAAGGCCCTTCAGCCCTGATCTCATCCCATCTCATTTACATATAGAAATGTACACTTGGATTGAATCCTACTCGCCCCCTCTCCTACCACACACACACATACACACACCATCCTCCCATCACAGCATTGAGCAGCATTTCAAATGAGATGAGGGTCCTGGCCTCAATCACCCTTCGTGACAAGTTGTTAATTACACTCTAGGTAAAGAATTACACATTCAGGGGATGTTGATCTAACAGGATCTGAGCGAGGGTAGTACCCTCTGGATAAGTCTGGAGATGCCACCTTCTGAACTTGCAAACTGAAGCAATACTGAAATCTTCAGGCTTATTTGAACCAGACTAATGAACAGAATGTGTTCAGGAATTCCAAAATGTTGGGTTAACAAAGGGTAGCATCCCAGAACAACAACAACAACAACAAGATTCCATTTATAGAGCGCCTTTCACGTCAGGAGGACGTCCCAAGGCGCTGTACAGTTGGGTCAGGACCCGAGCAGGGGAGAAATGGTCAGGGTGAGGGGAGGGAGCGAGGACGGGGTAGAGAGTCGAGAGGGGAGCTGAAGGCACGGTCAAAGAGAAAGGTCTTGAGACCGGCCTTGAAGGAGGAAAGGGAGGAGGCGGCGAAGGCACTGGGGGATAGAGTTCCAAAGCCTAGGGGCTGAGAGGCTGAAGGCCTGGCCACCGATGGTAGGGCGGTTGGGGCGGGGGATGTGGAGCAGCCCGGAGCCAGAGGAACGGAGGGTACGGGCAGGTAGGTAGGGGGATAGTAGGTCGGAGAGGTAAGAGGGAGCAGGGCCCTGAATGGCCTTGTAAGTGAGGATCAGGATCTTGAAATCAATCCTCTAGGGGATGGGGAGCCAGTGGAGGCGAGCGAGGGTGGGAGTGATGTGGTCCCGAAGCCTGGAAAGCACCCAGGGACACTACTCTGTGTGAGGGGTGCTAAATAAATGCAAGTTGTTGCTGTTGAACCTTTCAGTATGTTGGCTACTCACCCTCTGAAATGAATAGCCACACATAATGGTGGGAAATATGCACAATCTATTTGTGTGGAAAGTGTTTTGACTTGTAGTCTACATCCTATGTAAAAATAATTTCCTCCATGTAGGTATTGCACTTTCATGCGTCTAAATTTGAGAGCAATGCACCAATATAAATGCTTCAAAGGGGGCTTGTATACTTTGCTTTAGGCAACAGCTAGACAACATCATCAGTATTGGGGTATAATACTGTGCTTTTGTGCGCATCACTGTGGTATGCAAATTTAATTCTGACAGATATTAAACAATCTCAACCAAATTACTTTTATTCTGTTGGCATATATTAAAGATTGGTTCAAGTATGATTTATTATTGCTGTGTAGTGTGCCATATAACTATTTGGAAATTTCATCTAACAGTTCTGTCCCTCCTCCTCCAACAATTTGCTAAATTAATGTTTTTACTCTACTGGCGTGCAAGATTTAGTGCCATGTTCGATCTATGGCAGAATTTATGAACCAGTGCAAATACTGCCCGACTGAAATTTAATTCTTAGACTACTATTTACTGTATGGAAATAAATTGTTGTTACCAGTACTTCTGGGTAGGTAAATGCCCCTACATCTTTTCGACTTGAAAAATTGAGGTTCACTGTATAATTTAATATGTTTTTTAACAACAGTGCATTATGCATTAATTTTACTACATTTTTCCCAAATTTATAAATAATGAGTCCTGATGGGTTAGTGAATTGGACGCATAACCAAAGTCCAACAGTAAATTAATGACCGCTTAGTTTACAATAACCTTTGCATCGTTTCACTGTTTTACTATAGTCTGATATTAATGCTATTGAACTCAGTAATTCCCGCATGTAAGTAATTCCAACGATTTCCTCAGCATTTATGATTGAATTCAAGATATTTTTCAACAGTAGTGGAATAATGAAAGGAGCACTGATGTTGAATTGTTTCTGCACCAGACTTAATGCACTGACTAGTGTATTTATTCATACCATGGAACAAAAGATTAGAAACAATTATAATTATAATTAGCGAGCAGAATTTGTTTACTTGGCCAAATCTTTATCTGCTCTTCTACAGCCTAGGAGTGGAGGAGATAAAAATCAGAAATCCTTATCAGTTTTCTAATTTTATTACAACAATCAACTGAATTGTGCGGACTTTAATTTTATACGACTGCCTATATGCCACTTAGTGTCTTCGGCTCTTTATACTGATGTTTCATGAACAGTACTAATCAGACATCAAGTCTCACTTGCAGGTAATTATAAATTGTATGTGCATCATCTTTGTCACTTCAGACTGCACCCTTTCCTTCTTACTGGACCTTAGAGTGATAAATACAGTCTGTTTATTGATCTCTCAAGAAAACGTTAACAGTTTCTAAAATGCTAAATTTTACCTTGTTGTTAAATTTGATCCTCCGCCAGATGTGAAGAAGTAAAATAAACGGCCAAAACTATGCAATCTGTCAACAGAGCAAATAAAGCACTGAAGCTTAGGAATCAAAGCACTGAAACCTATACGGCTCTTTGAGCTTAAACAAATACCAGCTTCTCCACTGGAGCCATATACTACTATACTATTCCCTAAGTTTTACATGCCCGCTTTTATTCTTTTGCATCAATTATTTTCAAATACTTATTATGATTTTAGATGAATGAAAACTACAATCAAGTTCTGCTGGCATATATCTCAGACTTATCTCTTTAAGGTAGAAATTTATAATACAATTTTACAATCAATTTACATCTATATAGCGCCTCTTACATCAGGAGGACGCCCCAAAGCATTTGACCATCATAAATTTCATCTGGGTACAGATTTGCTCCATTAACGTAGTATTTCAAACTGTCCACAATTTGTTAAATACATACAGCCTTCATTTTGAATCCGGGTTTCTGTAAATTCTTTTAAGTTTCTAAAATAAAACTCATTAAAACAATTGAATTTTTGCAAAATATTAACAATATGCCAAAATGTGCACACTCAGAAATCCTACATTAATAGAGTAAATCTAGACCCAGGTGGAATTTCTATTCAATTGTCTTTCAAACCAGTACCAGAGATTAACATATTGTAGCAGACACGAGGACCTCAATCAGGAAGGCTAGGTTGGGCTGGAAAGGATGGAGACCCAGGTCTGACCCAGGACCAAGGAGCACGAGGCACAGGCTACATGGCTTGGCTGAGGTAGGTTAATGACTAGAACAGGGGCATTGCAAGCGCTCTGGTCTACAAGAGGGGAGGCAGGCCCTACCCATGAGCCCAGGTGCCTGCACTCCTCAATGGTTGTTGTATTGCTGTTCCGAGTTTTCCTCGTCCTGAGAGAATCCCGGTGTGCGTCTATATCTACCTGCTCGGGGCAACAATATCTACAAAGGTACGGGAGGGAGTAAGGAGTGAATGAGACTCACCTGGAGTATAAGCACCAGCACAGACTAGTTGGGCTAAATGGCCTGTTTCTGTGCTGTACAATCTATGTAAATCATTAATGTCAATCTTCAAAGTTTCAGCTTTGCATCAGGTGCAAAACTGACTGCCAGAACAGTTTTGAGTGACTGAAAATCACTTTTCACAAATGAAAATGACTGCATTGATGAAAAGTTGCTCAGATGTTCCAAAATCTACGACTGTAAGAAACAAAAGGGAACAAATTATTTGTGTGTCACAGAGATAAAAGTCTCCACAGACTCACGTGGAAGTATAAAGCTACATGAGCCAAACAGTCTCATGGTTGCAAATAATTTGTGGAGTGAATAAAGAGTATTCTTTTGTTGCTAGTTTGAGAGCTTATTTACATGACAAAGAGAAAAAGAAAAAATCTTTCTGTAGGTGGCATCAGTAATCTTTCCAAAGAGTACTTTACCTTATACAGTTTAAATCTGAATTCCTTGTCACATATATACAATACATTACAAACGGAATTAGACAGCAAATATATTTTGTTTTAAATAATTATT